ACCGAGCTCAGCGTCGCCGTGCATCGCACGACTGTGCGTCAGCTGCCGACCGCCCTCGCGGACCGCGTTGCCCAGGACGCCGACCTGCGCGCCGCGGCGGCGGGTTCTGGGGCTTGTCGGCTACACGTCAGAGTGCCGGAGTGAACTTCGGTGCTGGCCAAAATGGATTCGGGGATTTTGTTTGGAGTGATGCGTTCGGATTCGCGTTTGCGTAATTCGGTTGCGGGTCTTTTCTCGCAGTCGGCCGTAGCGAGCACGCGTCGTATCCGACAGCGAGCTTTAATTTTCCGGGGGGGGGAGCCTGGTCGCTCCGGCGGTAATTTGTCGCCCCAAGGCCAGCCCAAAAGCGGCCACCGCTGATAACTTCCTCAATAACAGTAGAAACCGTAATACCCGTAAGAACCGTAAGGCCCACCGCCTGCAGTTCAGTACTTTAGTCGTTTCGCTTATTCCGCTGGCCCATATTGCGCGCCTTGGACACTTTTTGGGGCCTCCTGGGGCCTCTTCGGGCGCAAGGCTCGAATTGTCGGTTCGTGTTCCCCCTTGTGGGCCCGTCTTGGGGCCGTTTCGGGGCTCTCTTGGGCTGTCTTGGGCGCCTCTTGGGCCGTTTCTGGGCCGTCTTGAGATGTCTTGAGATGTTTTTGTTTTAAGAGCGCCATTCCTGATTGCGCGCGTGCATGAGGCTCGCGGTGCTTGTTCTTCCTTGTCGCTCTTTTTCTCGGATTTCTGGTTCCCATCTGCCCGACACCAGCTCTTCTCCGCGTCCTCTCTCGACCCGAGTTCCCATGCGTCAGCTCCTGCATACTGGATCTAAGATCTACGGCCTTCTGCCCATCCCACCGTTGTGAGTGCGTTGTGAGTCAGAATCGTCAGGGATGCTCGTGGCGAGCAAGAAGGAGGAGGAGGAGGAGGAGGAGGAGGAGGAGGAGGAGGAGGAGGGGCAGGGAGGAGGAAGAGGAGGAGGAGGAGGAGTAGGGGAGGAGGAGGAGGAGGAGGAGGAGGAGGAGGAGGAGGAGAACGAGGAGGAGGAGGCCTCTGGATCGCTTCTTGGGGTATTTTGGGGCCAAGCCTGATCGTGGACAAGACGCCTGTTTGGGTGGCTGCTTGGGGTCTTTGGGCAACCCTCTCGGGGGGCCTTTTCAGCTCTTGGCGGTATTTTGGGGGCCTCTTGGGGGCCTGCTGGGGGCCTATTGGGGCATCTTGCGAGCCTCTTGGGTTTTTGAGCCTTCTGGGTGCCTCTCGGGGCCGAGAGCTGAAATATCCGTTCGGGTGCCTCGCCAGGGCCCGCTCTTGGAGCTCTCTTGGAGGCGTCTTGGAGCTCTCTTGGACGGCTCTTTGGCTGTCTTCGGGCCCTCTGGGGCCGTTTTAGGGCCCTCTTGGAGGCGTCTTGGGTCGTAGTGGGGAGATCTTTGGGACCTCTTGAGCCGTCGTGGAGCGCGGGTAAGATGAAAAGACGAGAACGCCAAAAGCTCTGGAAAACCAAAAAGGAAATCGATTACTTTCCGTAGCCATTCTGGCTCAAGAGCCTTGCCGGCTCAGACTGCACGATACCAAGCGTGCACCCCGTGGTGACCAGCGAGCGGGGAGATCAGCCTCGGCAGCGAGGCGTGCCATTGCCGCTTAGAGTTCTGGAACGATTCTCGGCCACATGCGCGACTTCGAAGGGAGCTACGGGGTCCTGCCCAGAGGCGAGCAACAGCCTTGCCCGTGGATCTCCTCCTCCTCCGATGGCACGCAGGCCACCCTGACGGCCCCGAACCCCCCAGACCGCCGCGACGAGCGCTTCCGCGCGCAGTTCGTCAAGTCCCAGCTGTGCAAGTTCTACGAGACCGGCTGCAGCCGGGGGGACGCTTGCGAGTTTGCGCACGGCCTGGAGGAGCTGCAGGCCGCCCCCGACCTGACCAAGACCTCCCTCTGCAGGGCGTGGCAGGCGGGGCGTTGTCGCCGGAGCTCGGAAGAGTGCTCCTTCGCGCACGGTCTCGACGACCTGCGGGTGACCGATGTCTACCACAAATCGGCGCCGTGCAAGATGTTCGCCGTGGGCCGTTGCAAACTTGGGAAGAGATGCAGGCACGCCCACAGCGTGTCCGAGATGCGTGCCGCTATGGGCCGCAGCGCCGCCGGCCACGCCCAGAGGCAGCAGCAGGGAGGCTTGCGGCAGCCCCTCGCGCCGCGGCCGCCGCAGCCCTCGCAGCTGGAGGAGACGTATGGCACTCCACCGCCGCCACTCGCGGCGGGCCTCGCAGAGACGCTGAGCGCCTTCCCGCTCCCGCAGGAGAGCGACCGCAGCGGATGCGTGCACCCAGCCCTCGGGAGTCCCGAGCTAGTGCCTCAGCACACCCCGCTGAGGCAGTTGGTCAAGCGGATGCACCCGTTCGAGCCCGGGCCGAGCGCCTCGGACGTCAACGCTCTTTCGGCCAATCGTTGGGCGGCGCCGCGTCCGCAGATTCCCCAGGCCTCGGTGGACTACACAAGCGGAGTCCAGACGTTGAGTTTGTGAAGCGCTTCCTTCGGAACCACGACTCGTTCGGCTGAGTGGGCATAGAAATGAAAAAGTTGTTGTGAGATTTGCATACAGGATCCAGGCAATGGAGGAGCTGCCAGTCAGTTTCACAAACGTTCTATATAGTAAATGAGATGCGCATGGATGGCGCACGCAAGTGCAAGCTGCGCACGTGCGAGCTATATCGTGTGCAACTCTGGTAAGTGCCATGTAAGGTGAAGCCAGGGACACGGTGAGGCGTGGTCTAGAGAGCAGAATTTGGGCGGGTCGTTTGTTGTTGCATACGGTTTGGAATTTACCAGACGTTGTGGCCACACGTTGCCGCTGTGCGAGCACTGCGCCATCGCTGGCCGGTGAGTGATTGTATTAGACATCCAGCCTTGTGCAAGCTGCTTGAGACAGCTAGTCGCAGGTTTCGGGCCGCTTGCACACCGTCACGTCTGGCCCACCAGTTGGCCAGACCCCAGGGTAACACTCTGGACTGGGACCCGTTGCCCGGCTTTTTCACATCGCTGTAGAACCATTTCAAGCATTACCTCTACTATCTCGTGTCCCTTTCGGGGCCGCTCCTTGTGTATTCTTTTTTGCCGCCAAATTGTAGTGTCAATGACGCGAGGGTGATTGTTTCTGAAAGGTTGGGAGACCAGCCACTTGTTTTAACGTGATCCCGTTATCTCTTCTATCCCCTCCAGACACAGGCGCCCCCGACGGCAGCCAGAAGAGCTTGTGAACCGAAGCGTTCCCCCGTCTTTCGATGCTGTCGGCCTGCTCGGGATGGGACGGGGGGATAAGTTTCTCCATGTGTTTGGGGGCTTAATGTGCACGGGAAGCGACAGACGATGCTTTTCTCAACCAACTGGAAAGGCGTTGCAGCAGACTGGGATAGGCTTCCAACGAACTGCTGTAATAGCATTATGATTACACGTTGAAGCCGGCTGTGCCCGCGCTCCGTGTGAGAACCCTTTCGGGCAACTTGCCGTCGGCAAATTTGCGCATTGCAATCGCAAGGTTGCACATTGCATGTGAGGACCAGCGTAGTTCCCCTCGATGGGGCAGTCGGTTTAGATCTGCCAGATTCCCAGAAGGCGCGGGCAGCGACATGCAGACTTGCTCACAGACACTTCATTGTATACATTTCACATGTGCTCTTTTTAGCTAGCGTTCTTAGCTTTCTTGTTCGTTCCTCTTCTGATAGCATGTTTGGGTCGCGCCGGGGACATCGAATTCTGGCACCGCTGTATCACCCAGTGGCCACACCAACCTCACTATCGGCAAACTGGTCGTATGGCCGCTTCATCTTGGGGCTCTCAAAAGGCAGAGCCCCCGTTTTTAGTAAATCCGTGGGCGATTTACGTGGTTGACTTGCCATTCGTTTTTTGTTTTGCGCTGGATGCGCACACGCTGCGTTATCTTGACGTGGTTGTCTGTGTTGAGGCGAACTTCGATGGGTACGCAAGGGTCCACTATATCGACTGGCGAAGGAACAGCCTTGTGATACCTTGGAAATCGATTACTTTTTGCCTCTGGAGACCCTCTTGGGAGGACTCTTGGAGGCCTCTTGGGGCGTTTGAAAAGCGTCTTGGGTCATATGCAGGCCACATTGGGCGTCTTGGAACGATCGTTCGACGACTGGGAGCCCTCTTGGACCGTCTTGGGGGCCTTTTGGGGGCCCTCTTGGAGCGCTCTTGAGGGCCTGAAGCGCTGCACCCAGGAGAAAAACCATCTCTGACCCGAACCGGCCGGGGTATTTTTCGTCTGGGGACTCCCAGGGGCCGCCCCGCGCGCGCGAAGTAGAAATATTGTAAAGCAGTTGCTGGAGACCTTATCACGCCTCTGGCCCAGTTGGGCCGGCGAATTTACTCATGCTCCCTGAGGAGTGCCCTTGAGGGGGCCCGAAACGGATGGCGGATGTGGTCAGATCTCACCATGATGCGGCCGGGCAGTGCCAAACCCTATCGCGGTGGCACCCGCCAGCGTCATTCGCGGCGCGTTCGGGGTGACCTTCCGGGCGTCCGAATCGAGCCTGCTGAATTCCGCATTTCTCCGCTGGCGCAACGGATCTTTCGAGGCGCACCTCCTTGGTCATCGATGCGATGTGGCAGCAGCGGTTTGCTTGCTTGTGTTTGGTCCCAACGCCCCCCCCCGACGCCGCGAAGGTCATTCTTGCCAAGGGTAGTTCTTGTGTGTAGTCGAGGCGTTGTCCATCTGCACGCCCCCTATCGTGCTGGTCCCCAACTGCGTCGTCTTGGCGCTCGGCAAGCTCAGAGAGTGGCGTCGGCGCACGGGCGTCGGACTGACAACAAGCCCAATCCTTGAAGAAGGGGATGAATAGGACGATGGGGGAGGAGAAGCGGTGCCAGGAAGGGCGGTGGGAGGAGAGGACATTGAGAACATATACATACACATATAAACATATAAACATATATACATCTATATATATATATATATAGCATGAGGAGCTGCTGACGCAGATCATCGGCAGCATTGCGTCAGTTGATCTCTTGCGTCTGTTCCTCTCCCTCGTATGTCTCTTGGCAGGCGGCAGGAACTTGCGAGGCCGCTCAGGAATCGGTGCGGCGAGCCCGAGCCCGAAGGAAAAAATGAGGGTCTCATGTATTCTCGTCCTCGTCCTCGTCCTGGCTTCGTCTTATTGCTCCTCGTCCTCGTCGTATTCTCGTCCTCGTTCTCGTCCTCGTTCTCAGCCGAATTTCTCCTCGTCCTGGCTTCGTCTTATTGCTAGGCAAGGCGCCCGCTTTGAGTACCTCAGATTCTCGAGGACAGCCCGCCCGTTTTCGGAGTGGAGCTGTGCCGAAGCGCCCCCACCGCTTCGTTGTCTTATCGTCCGTGCCTTCTCGTTGCACAGGTCCTTGGTCCTCGCACGGGTCGAGGGAAGCAGGATGCCTCCTGTCTTCTCGCTCTGGGCCCCGGGGAGGAGGGCGCGGAGGAGGAGGAGGAGGTTCGGTCGGGGGACGAGGACGTTGAGGAGGAGGGGGTGGAGGAGGACTGGATGGGGAGGAACTGCAGGAGAGGCAAGGCGAAGGAATAAAGGCAGGAGCAAGGAGGAGGAGGAGGCGGAGGAAGGGGGAGCAGGATAATTGAACAGATGTCCTCATTCCTCCTCCTCCTCCGCCGCCTCCTCTTCCTCCTCCTCCACGCTCCGTTCTCCTCTCCCTCCACCCCCCTCCCCCTCACGCGGCCCCACTTCTGTCCTTCTCTTCCCTCACCGCTCCCCCCCACCGCCCTCCTTTACCGTCCGTCCTTCTCCCCCGCCTCCTCCGCCGACGACAACAAACGACGACGACGACAGACGACGACAGACGATATACGACAGACGACAGACGACGACCGCAGACGACGACCGACGACGACGATGATGACGTCGACGACGACGACCGACGACGGCGACGACCGACGACCGACGACCGACGACCGACGACCAACGACGACGACGACGGCGACGACAGACGACGAGGACGACGACGACAACGATGACAACGATGACGACGAAGACGACGACGACGACGACGACGACGAACGACGTCGACGACGACAGACGACCGACGACGACGACAACGACGACGGCGACCACGGACGAGGACGAGGACGACGACGACGCTGACGACGACCACGATGACGACGACGACGCCGACGACGACGACGACGATGGCGGCGACGGCGACGACGACGATGACGACGACGACGACGACGGCGACGACGGACGACGACGACGGCGACGACGACGACGCTTTCGACGACGACGACGACAACGACGGCGATGACGACGACGAGGACGGCGATGACTACGGCGACGACGATGACGACAACGACGACGACGATGATAGCGACGATGACAAACGACGACGACGGCGACGACGACGATGACGACGACTACGACGGCCGACGACCGACGACCAATGACGACGACGACGGCGACGACGGACGACGACGACGACGACGACGCTGACGACGACGATGACGACGACGACGACGACGACGACGGCGGCGACGACGACAACGACGACGATGACGACGACGACGACGACGGCACTGCAGCATTGTCACATACCCACAAGGAGGAGCGTCGGGGGCACAGGGGTAGTGGCGGCGGGGGGGGACGTTGAGAAGGAGGGGGTGGAGGAGGGCTGGATGGGAAGGAGCTGCAGGTGAGGCGAAGGAATGAAGGCAGGAGCAAGGGGGAGGAGGAGGAGGAGTAGGAGGAAGAGGAGGAGAAGGAAGGAGGAACAGATGTCATCCTTCCTTCTCCTCCTCCTCCGTGCTCCCACTTCCTCTTCCTCACTTCTGCCCCTCCCTTCCCTCACCGCTCCCCCCCACCCGCCCTCCTCTACCGTCCCTCCACCGCCGGCAACGACGACAAACGACGACGACGACAGACGACGACAGACGACGACAGACGACGATAGACGACAGGCGACACCCGACGACAACGACGATGACGACGCTTTCGACGACGACGACGACCGACCGACTACGACGAAGACTATGACGACGACGACGTCGACGACAACCGACGACCGACCACCGACGACGATGACGACGACGGGCGTCGACGACGACGACAACGCTGTCGACGTCAATGATGACGACGTCGACGATGAGGACGACGACGATGATGACGACGACGAACGACGAGGACAACGACCGACGGCGACGACGACGACGTCGACGGCGGCGACCGACGACCGACGACCGACGACCGACGGCGACGACGACGACGGCGACGACGGATGACGACGACGATGACGTTGACGACGACGAGGACGCCGACGGCGACGACGTCGACGTTGACGACGACGAATGCGACGACGACGACGACGACCGACGACGACGACGGCGACGACGACGACGACAACGATGACGCCGACGACAGACGATAGACGACAGGTGACAACGACGACGACGACGACTGCGATGACGACGACGACGAACGACGACGACGACAACGACTACGACCGACGACGAGCACGACGACGACGACG